AATAATACAGTCTGTGTCTTCCTTATCACAATGCTTCCCTTTGCACTAACGGCAACGCCAGGCCTTGGAAGGTACTCAGTGAAATCCTGCTGAATAAACAAGAGAAAAATGTTGCCCAGCTTCTTATGGGCAGCTGTGTTCTGGGTGGATCTCTGCTCAGAACTCACTCCAATTATTACATCCCCTCTTCTCAGGTTACAGACATGCTGGATAAGCAGCCTGGGTTTTCATCTCCCTCCATGTCCAGGGTAAAGCTCAGAGACTAGTTTTCTATCTGGTCCTGTAACTAGACTTCCAAGTAAATTGCAGTTCTTCCCACAAAACCCATCCTCAGTTAACTTAGGACCACTGGCAATCCCAGCAGCCTTTTTTCTCCTATTGATTACTTATGACATCAAGCAAATTGTAGAGTCCACCCCGGCTCCACCACTTCCCAGCTGCGAGACCTCAGGCAAGTTGCTCACTGCTCGGAGCCTCCACTTCCTTGTCTGTAAAATGGGTGCAGCAACTCTGCCCCATTGGTTAGTGTGCAGATAAAGTAAAATGATGGGGTGAGAGGGCTGGCACTCTGCAAAAGGCACCTTTGAAATTTGCTGGACGATGGCTCAGGGGATTCCCATTCTTCACGAGTCTCTACTGAAGGTATTTCTTTCCAGCTCTATCTTCTGATTTCCTGTCATCATGACAGCTTCCTCTTGGTGACAACATGTCCCCCCAAATTTTATGGCAACTCAGTTTTGATATAGCTTTTAATCGTCTGTGCTATAACCTTGTCTCTGGAAATTCTCATTTATACTACCAGCCAGTGCCTCTTTGATCACACACTTATTGATCCCCCAATTAATGAGAAACAATTTGTTCATAAGGAACTGTGACAGCCTCTCCCCAGACAAGTCACATGCAGATGATTAAACGATCACCCAGGTGTTCGGTGGCACCATCCAGTCTGCCAGAGATTGAATAAAACATCCTGCTCCGTGGCATTAATGACGACGGAAACCCACGTCGGTCTAATCAGCACAAGCCTTCACTGTTTTAGTTTGAGGTGGATGTGGGGATGGAGGGGGATGAGCACAGAGCTGCTGGGTAAAGAGGACACTGTTGTGGCATTTCTGCCTGGCCCTGGAGAGGCTGTCTATTCAGAAGATCTCCACCAGGGGTGGCGCTGCCTTACTACATGGGTATTTGGAAAGTGGGTGGGTGCTGTCATAGATGGAATTTAGGATCTTAATGAAATTTTGTAAAGGGGGTGGTGGGCAGGGATGCTAAACTGCAATTTGTGAGATTACAAAAGCTTTGTCCCAGGCCAGGCACAGTGGCTCACGCCTGTAATCCCAACACTTTGGGAGGCAGAGGCGGGTGGATCACTTGAGGTCAGGAGTTCAAGACCAGCCTGGCCAACACGGTGAACCTGTCAGTACTAAAAATACAAAAATTAGCCAGGTGAGGTGGTGCGCGCCTGTAATCCCAGCTATGGAGGAGGCTGAGGCAGAGAATCACTTGAACCCAGAAGGCAGAGGCTGCAGTGAGCTGAGATCGCACCACTGCACTCCAGCCTGGGTGACAGAGTGAGACTCCATCTCAAAAAAAAAAAAAAAAAAATTGTCCCATGCAACATGCCACCAGAGCCCCTGCTGATAACACTGAGTCCAGTTAGTGAGACCGGAGCTGAAGTCACATGCAGAGTGACACCTCCCTACCCCAGACTCTCTAGTCTGCAAGACCCTAAGCCCACTCCCATAACACAGAGGGCCATATTCAAGCCCATCCCTTCTTCCCCTCCTCCCACCAGTTCTTTGGGCCTGCATTGTTTTTCTGTTTGCTCGGTGCTTCAATTTGAATTCAATACCAACATTTTAAAACTCAGGAGATTTTGCAACCCAAATCCACATCTCCAGCTTCTCTGGCAGAGTTGGGAGGATCAGGACCCAGGCTGGGGTGGGTGGGAGGGGGGGACTGTGGTCTCACAGACAGCTGGCCTGGGCCAAGCAGCTTGGAGACGGGAGCTTCAGGTACCCATGGTCCCACTGAGCTGGCTCCACTCACAGTCTGGCCCCCCCTAGCATCTGAATTTGCAAATCCCCAGCTTACTGCAAGGTTTGAGGCCTGAAGACAAACTACAGTGAACTGAAAATGAACTTCCTCAGCCCTACAAAGGAACCGAGGAGATGACGGCTCTTTCAAACCAGACCATGATGCTTTGACCTTGATCGCTACACACTGGACCTACTGCAAGCTTTTTCAAGGACCAGCACTCCAGAGACAAAATCAGTCCTACTTTAACTTCAAATGACTTATCGACCAACTTCAAACGCCAATGTAAAATGGCTCCATCTTTGCATAACATGACATGATTATAGGCTCAGATTTCAGGGGCCGTCAAAGCCTGTAAGATCACAGAGCGGGCTCTTCAGGTGGTTCTTGCACAAGCCCTGCCAAATTCAAGCCTTTTTTTTTTTTGACAACCCTATCTTCTCCCAGGACAGCAGCAGGGAGGGACGAGGCGGTATTTACACGTCAAACAGTCTGCTATAGCTCAGTCAAAAGACGCAATGAAACCAATGAACGGAGAAATAGGAGCTGGGGTTGCAGATAATATTCTAAGCCTCTGAGTGGAGGGGAACTCCGCATCCCGTTCCTATGTGAGGCAGGGCCTGCCTGCTGTTAATAAATCTAAATAGATTTTTACTTGGCTAATATCAAGGGCTGCCGTCGAGCGGCTTCTCTTACCGGTTCCTCTGCTGAAGCAATATTAAATACTCATCATGTTTCTCATCAAAGTCTGTCACCATGTCCTTAGCGCAACCCTGAAATGAAGAAACAGAGCAGTGTGATATCGGAACGCAGGGAAGCTCTGACTGAGGGCGCGGGTGCAGCACACACCGGCGCAGGAGGCTGAGAGGCGGAGGCTGACCTTGACAGAGGCCCAGCTCCCCGGGAGCATTGCTCCGGCAACCCTGAGCCCCAGAGACTGTCTGAGGCCCCATGGGCCTTAGGTGTACACACTTTTAATCATCTATAAGAAGGAGAAGGTCAATTCCCGCCTCTCACTACTGTTCATTCCTCTCACGCCCACTATGATCAAGGACTCTGACATGATTTGGGCTGTACTGTTTTCTCAACACTCATCATTTAATTATCTCGATTGTCATAACCAGACGCAACCCAAATCAGTTGTTTAAAAGGGGATCTTGGCTGGGTGCAGTGGCTCTTGTCTGTAATTCTAGCACTTTGGGAGGCTAAGGTGACAGGATTGCTTAAGCCCCGGAGTTCAAGACTAGCCTGAGTAACCTAGAGAGACCTTATCTCTATAAATAATTTAAATATTAGCCAAGCATGGATGGTGCATGCTTGTGGTCCCAGCTACTCTGGAGGCTGAAGTGGGAGGACTGTCTGAGTCTGGAAGTTGAAGGTGCAGCGAGCCATGATTGCGCCACTGCACTCCAGCCTGGGCAACAGAGCATCTCAAAGAACAAAAAGGGGAGGGGAGTCTTATTTTCCCCTTGCCATTGCAAGAGAAATCTATGTTAATGATAAACAATGCAGTCATTACAGAAATCTGTGACCTAGACTGGAGGCCCTCTTGGAGTGGACATAAGTGGTTCTGTGTCTCCTAGTCTGGCAACAAGGCCCTGGGTTTCCCTTGGGGAACTGCTCAGCCCGTTCTTGCAGTTCACTGCCTTCCTTAGACAATCTTGAAAGTGACTTGGTTCTTCTCTTTGTTCACATGACCTTGGCCTTGCCAATCAACACAGGGCTTCCCCTAGCCACAGTGATTTACCAGGTTAGGGGTGAACCGTGACCCAAGTCAGCCCTGGGATTTTGCTGACACCTTTAGAAAAAGAGCTGCTCTCTTCCCATTTGGATGCTGCGCCAATGAGATGCAGGCCTGGGACCGCCTGAGAATGAACCTGCCAAAGACAGCGGATCCAAGAGACGAAGAGGCAGATTCCTAAAGACAGCATTTGAGTCCCTGGATCCACCTATGCATAAAGAAGGATCTGGGCAATTCAGTTATTGCCTTGGAAGTTTCAGCTGAGTTTCTGTCATTTGCAGCCAATAGAATTTTAAGTAATATACTATGATCCGACCGTCAGAGATAATCCCTGGTATAAGTTATTATGGCTTTCTGGGGGGAGTGATGTATAATAAACTACACATATTTAAAGTGATATATGCATATACCAGTAAAACTGCTATTAAAATTTGATAAATGTATCTTCCTCTGGGTGCCTTTCTTTGTTCAAAGTATACACAGATACATATCTACACAGAAACACATATACACTCTTTAAAAAGCATTTTTTTTTTTGGCCGGGCGCGGTGGCTCAAGCCTGTAATCCCAGCACTTTGGGAGGCCGAGGCGGGTGGATCACAAGGTCAAGAGATCGAGACCATCCTGGTCAACATAGTGAAACCCCGTCTCTACTA